AAGGCCCAGTTTTTTAACTTCTTTCATCAGCTACTGTACTTAAACACTTGGGGGACTGAAGAGACCGTCTGGGTATAAGCCGACCACTGGGTCCCTCTCTCCTGCTGCTCGTTTCCAGGGCCTTTTTCATCCAAGACCTCCACTCCTGACATATGACAACTTAATATGCTGTTTCCCTTCCAGCAAATGCTGAAATGCACAGGTCAGCCAAACTTGGTGACTCAGAGCATGGCCAGACACCTGAGAGAAATTAGGAGATACTCACAAAATGCCCACCATCCCTGAATTGTTGGACCCCAAGGACACAGACCCATTTAGACGGAAACACAAACTTCGGGTCTTCCACCCTGGCTTGTCAGGCCCAGCCCCACTCCTGGGGCATCTCCTGCCCAATCCCCCCTCACTGGCTCTCCACTGTCCATGACTCGCTAGGTACCCTCCCCTCACCCACCTCTGGAGGCCACACTGACTGCAGGCCCCTGGGCCTCAAAGATGCCAGTATCTCAGGCTTTGTCCCCCAGAAATGCACCCAAAGTACTCAGCAGGGCTGAAGATCCCAAGACCTATGAGGGTTAAACAGAGCTGACTGAAGATTAGCAGAAAGGGCCACCAGAGTTAGAAAAGCTAAACCAGGATGTATGAATTGACAAAGGAACAGCAAGAGGATAGAGGAGACACAGAACAAATGGACTAACTGCGGGTAAGTAAACAGAACTATCGAAGGTTAGAAAAGAAAGATGACTCTAAGATGAACAGGATGACCCCAGGGAGAAGGATCCCAGAGACAGTCTATTCAAACACTTGCAGCCATGGAGCTTCTGAGGAAAAGGCAACTGTTTAAGAAAAAGGACCTTGGTGAAGGGGCTGCTGGAGAGACTGGGTGGGGGGAAGCTGAGCAGGAGAAATGGGAGGCGCTCTGGAAAGGGAAGCTGGAACATCTCTGTGGAGCAGGTGGTTTGAGAGGACACTAGAGAAGTGGGCAGGGACTGGAGGACAAGCACCGAGGGTGCCAGGGAAAACAGAGACAGGGGCTGAAAGGCCAGGGCCTCTGGAACCCCAGGAGCCATTTCTAGGTGCATCACAGCACCCACCCTGTGTGGGTAAAACTGGTCACTGAGGGCCATTCTCTGAAGCCCTACTAAGCTCTGCTCTGGATTTTGAAGGTGGAATACTCAGAGGTGGGAATTTACCAACGAGAAAAGCACAGCTCCATCCGTGGGAAGTTGATATTCTGAGAGGAGACAAAGACTACCACCCCCCCTGCAGGCCCCCAAACCTTGAGGGAGCCTCTGATCTAAGGAACCCACCAGAGACAAGCCACAAAACTGAGGAACAAATAGCAACTGGTGCAAATTAATATTGTCCTTAAAATCTGAGGAGACAGAAGAGGGAGGAGAGGTAACTCAGAGACCTGGGAAGATCCAAGCTGGGACTCTCCACACCGTTAAGACTCAGCCTGCTAATCTCATCAGCTGCCCAGACATCTGGGCAGGGGCCTCAGTGCCCTCCATATAACTACAGCTGTACTAACGTGGGGGAAAATCAAAATCAACACTGCTGGGAGGCCTAGGGTGAAGAGTCCCTCCCTGGGGAGCCCAGGGGCTTGAAGGAGCCTGAAGGAGTCTGGAGGTAGAGCTTTGCTCTCTGCTGATCTTCCCCCTCTCTCAACAGTCTCTAATCTCATCCTCACAGTGTGCACGATACATGGCTTCATAACCTCTGGTTGTTTTGTGTGGTTTCCTCTCCAGCTAAGCAGAAGCTCCCAGAGGATAAAGACCAGGTTTTCTCTGCACCCTGCAGTGCTGGCAAGTAACAAATACTTGTCACAGGTAGGGTATCTGGAGTGTTGATTACAAAAACATTTCCTACAAACAGCAAACACATGGCAAAACTATTCTATTGTTATTCTTTGCCCTATCACTTGCATTTGACACTCATCTCTCTGTTGGCTCATGCCTGTAGATGTCCATTCCTGTATCCACCTCAGGCTGGGGACTGGGCCCACTTAGCCTTTGTTAAGAAATACCAGCTCAGCCTGCCTGTGGGAACAATGAAAGGGTGTGTGGCCCAGGAGTCTCTAGAGGGCAAGGGGGTGGGTCTCCCCACACTGGGCTGGCCCATTGATAAGGATCCTTCCCTTCTCTGTCTCCTAACAGATACAGATTAATGATCGCTCATTCCTAATTGTCAAATTTCTTTTCCTTCATCCTGTGTCTAATCACCAGTGACAGAAACCATTACGCAAATGAGAGCAGACGACTTCCCCCAACTGTTCGCGTTGGTAAAAACCTTGTAATTTAGAGCTCTGATTTGTAGGGGAAGCTGGTCTCCCCCAGGCATCCTGGGCATCTGCTCAACTGATGCCCAGAACAGCCCCTCCTCAATCCCCCAAACTCCAACCCACCAATATTTGACTTCACAAGAGAGCAGTTTCCTTTGTACCTGCTGGTGTAAAAATGGGAGCTTGCAACACAGTGCTTTTTTGCAATTCCATACAGGCCTAAACCCCCACCTTCCCTTGGTGTGTCTGCCTCCGTGCTGCCGGCAAAGACAGGAGGAAACAACAGAGAAGAGATGTTTCCTCTGCTGCAAGCAGAATTTGAGCCTGAACAGACCTAACCTAATAAGTGAAAGGAAGAGCCTCGATCTCTTCCTTGTGGGAAAAGGAGGCAGCAGAACATGAATCAAGGTTCTCAGTGATCATCTAGAACTTGATCTTCAATTCTATAGACGCAGAAGCATGCTGGAAGAAGTTGTGGGACCTATTCAAGGACACACAAGTAATGCAAGGGGACCTAGAACTCAGTTTCCCCATAGCACCTTCCAGTGCTCTTAACTCTTAATATGGCTTCCCAGCAGTTTTCCCAAGATGTTTTGGGCTGGAGCCCAAAAGGGCTTTCACCCTGAGCTGTATCTTCTGCACCCTCTTGGGCTAAGCCTGCCTGCACCAGACACTGCCCAGTGGGGTGAGACCTGAGGATGGCCTGTAGTACAAGGGAGAAGGTAGGAAAGGATAATCAACAGTCTGGTGGAAAGGGAGCAGCAGTGCATTTGCAGCCAAACAACGTGAAGTTCAAGCCCTGATTGCCACTAATCACTTAATCTCTCTGAGCCCATTTCTTCAGCTGTAAAATGAGAATACCTACCTTGCAGGGTAGTGAGGAACAAAGATAAAAGCACTAAGCACATGTTAAGTGTCTAATAATCAGGGGTCACTACTATATTACCCAAGGATCAGGACCAATCCTGTGAAGGGCCCTCCTTCTCAGTCACCTTAGGACAGACCTGTGTCAGCACAGCACCCAGCAATGACTAGCTGAGTGGCACATCACCCACATCTTTGAGGGCTGAGCCAGGAATGCAGCAGACCTGCTGAGGAGAACGAAAATAATCTGCTATCTTTCAAAGTGTGACTGTGATCAAGTTTCTCCGCCGTCTGCCTTGTTTTCTCTGCTGCGCTCCTCTTTCCCCAGAGATGGAGGATGGAGATCACTGCAACCACGTTGTCCAGCATTGGCTATATTTGAAAGAACTACATTTGAGAAGGTACCATGTTTGCACACCCACACTACATCAGAGAACCCCAGAATGGGGGACTAAAAATAAACACCCCTCCCCAAAATACACACATAGGTGCGCACACGCACACACACACATCCTCTCAGTCCATCAGTGCACTGAAACTGTAAACTGAGCTTCGGGGGTAAGAGCTGTAGCTCAGACACTGGAAGTAAACCTTTGGCAAAAAAAAGGAAAAATAAACCCAGAGACTTCCAACTCCTCATTCCTTCCAGAGAGAAAGGGCATGGAGATGGGCGTGGAGGTGAGAAGACACAGAGCCACCATACTGCCCAGTTCCAGGGGCCCCACTTCCACTGAATAGATGTGAATGATGGCCCTTTGAGTTGTGCAGTGCACAGCTGCCCAGCTGTAAGCTGCAGCCCTGAGAGGGGTTCCCATGAGTAGCTATGAACAGAAAAGAAAATTCCTCTTCTGTGCTCCACCAGTTGCCCTGACTTTTGAGGGTGTTTGTGGAACATTACAGTGGGGTCTTGGGGAGGTGCTGGCTTTAAGAGGCAAGGCTACATTTTTGCCCTTGCCATGAGGTGGATGATAGGTGGTGCATTCGCTGCCTAAGCTTGACCCCATTTTGTCTACTCAGCCAGGAAGCTCTGCAAACGTAGAGGATGTGGCCTGGGCAAGGAGGGTCAGGGGACCTGGAGGCTCTAGCCAGCCAGCCTCAGGCAGGTTGCGGTGAGACCTGACCAACATCCAATGGCTAAAATTGAGTTTAAAAGCTTTAGGCTAGGTCAGGCACGCCCGCCCTGGGGCTCCCACTGTATGTCCCACTGGATAAGATTAAGCAGTGGAGAAACTTGGTAAGCAGAGGGGCAGGCCAGTGTGGATACATATGCACACACCTGTGCACACACACACACACATCCACAGAGGCTTGCACCCCTAGAACCTAGAGAACCCACTGCTAGGAGGACTCCCTTGGTACCTGGCACAGGGAGCAAGAGCTGGTGCTGAAAGAGAGATGTTGTGTGTGTCTGTAATTTGGAACTTAAGCACAATCCTTGGTTGTTGTGTCCCAAGGCTCTTTTCTATGTATGGCTTGAGCTTGAAGGTCCAAGGTGGAACCCTGTCTAAATCTCTCTCGTAGGAAGCTATCTAGGCTCTCAAAGGCAAGCCTCCCTCTCACTCTTCCCATTAGAGTCCCAGCAGCCATTCCCACTCAGCCTAGAGCATGACTCTGTGAAAACTGGAAGGAAGCAGACTGACCTCCTTCCAGTCAGGACAGCTCTGGCCCTGCAGCCCAGATGTAGTGGGCGTCCAAGAGCATCTCCTCTCTCTCAGGCTGAGGCACTAAGGTTGTAGGAGACAGGGCTGAGAGCCAGAAGTGGCACCACGACCCAGACGGAGGGAGCGAGGAACAGATACATACGTGTGTGCATGCACACACAGCCCGAGGTTGACCGACTGACACACACACACGATGACACCCAGAAGCTGGGACTCCACACACTGAATGCAGGACTTGAGGGGGGCAGGGAGAGAAGGCGCTGGGGCACAGAGGCAAGGGTCAGAAGTCCCTCCAAATGGGAGTGGAGTGCCAACTACCCTGCCGTGCCCTAAACACCTGCCTCCAGGGCCATGGCAAGAGTCCAGTCCATTAAGTGCAGCGTGCAATACTAGCGTTTGGAGTCTCCTGTCCTCATCAATGAAGCGGTGTGGACGGGCTAGCAGTCACCTGGCAGGAGGCCTCGACTCCCGGCAGGCTAGTTGTATCGGCCCTTGATCATTGTGTTCAACAAGGGCCCCACCTGTGAAGAGACATGAGGAGCCAGTCAGAACTGCCTGTCTCCTGGCCCTGGAGCCGGACAAGGTGTGTCTAGAGACATTCGATGTCCACCGAAGGGTGAGGACGAGGCTTTCATTCAATCTTGTAAACCCTCTAGCCAATTCTCTTCCTGGAGGTCAACCCAGTATTCTGGGGCATGGCCCTCTCCTCTGGGTCCATCTTATATTACTACCCTCTCACAATACCCTGTATCTGTAAGCAGCACTAAACTGACAGACAGAAGTGAGAGGAGCTAATAATTCCCAAACACCAGAGAGTGTTTGTCTGCATGTTCCTTAAGTGTGCCTTAAGAATGTTAAATGCCTCTACACCCTGATAAGGTCACCTGCAATTGGGGCTGGTGCCATCTCCCAATCCCATAGGTCCTCTGGATGCTGAGGCTATCCACAGGATGGAGGCAAGAGCATTACAAATACAAACCTCCCCATTTACCCAATAGGCCACTGGCACACCTGTGTGAGAAGCGGATCTCAACAATACCTAGAGCAGCCTTGGCATAGCTGGGTAAGTGTGAGGAGATGCTTTACTGCTCTATTCCTGTTCCAGAAGAATCCCCTCAGGGGTCCCCAGCTGGCACACAAGCCCCATGGGGAACATTACCACTAGCATGGAACAGATTATAATTGATCCGCTAGTCAAGCCCAGCTCTCACCGGAACACAAGGATTTTCTAAACATACCCGTAACCTCTATGGAGAAAGAGGACACCAGATACTGAAACAGAGGAGTTGGGGAGAATGGGACACCAATCCTGACTTTCCCTGGTCACTCTACCCACTGAGCCACAGAAGTGCCACTTTGGGGCAGCCACATACCTCCTGTGGGTTCCCCAAGGCCTCTCCAAGCATCTTCTCAATGTTTCTCATTATGGCCACTTTCTGATGGGCTTTGAGAGGATATTCAATTCTCTTAGGGGTGGGGGCCCCCTGCAAAGGAAGCAGCAGTTCAGGAAATGCCTTCAATAGAAAGCTTCAGTGTCACCCCCTATTCCTAGCATCATCCTTCCTTCTAAAAAACCCAGTTCAATCCTATCCCTCTTCATCTCCCTGAAGACCTGGGAATCATTTCCAGAGATAGACTACTTCCCCTCCCTGCCCCCAAATAATTTATTCCACCTACCTCACCCCAGTCCCATTTAGGGAAAAAACCCATATTCACCTTATACCAGAAGTTCACAGTGATGGTAATCCCCCCATTTAGTAATGACTCTATGTGATGCCACCTGCAAGAAAATAAACAGGCTCCTGTTTGCCATCAATACGTTTCAGAAGGACAGATGGAAAACTAGGTAGAGTCCAGCTAAGGGAAATAATGGAGACAGGATCGTTACTCTCATCCTGTCAAAAACACCCTGGGGCTAGAGGCAGTGGCGTTCAGTCTCCAACTACCAAAGAGCCAAGAACAGTTTCGACAGCCTCAAGTCTCTGGGACCTCTTTGGACTTGAACAATTGTCATCTTGTCCTAGAAATAGGGTTGTCATGTCCCCCATGTTCACTATGCTCACATCTGGATATGCCAACCTTCCTGGAGATCACATAAAACCATTCTTGCCACACTCAGAAGAAGGGACACAGATAAGGCTTTCCAGTGGATGGGAAAGAAAGGTCCCAAGAAGCCCCCAGTACTAGCCCCCTCCTCACCAGTACATTGGGATATAAAGAACATCACCAGGGCCAACCACTGTTTCGTAACCAACCACGTTCTGGAAATTGGGGAACCTCTCGTAGTCAGGATTGTCAAAGTCCACCTGAGAGGTTCAAGAGAAAGAAAAAAAAAAACGAATCACCAAATTTTTATCAGTAACTACTATATGCTAGTTACTTTGGTAGTCAAAGAAAGATGCCTTAAAAACAAAGACGTCTTTAGAATTTATATTCAGCAGAAGACACAACACACATTAAACATACACACACAGTCTCTGTCTTAGAGAATGATATCTTAAAGACAGACGATGCTCGAATGTTAAGTGATAAAGAATCCTAGGCCTCCGTGCTCCTGAGGTCAGAAGCCAATCATAACAGCTGGCAGGTCAGAAAACCTACTCATGGCCTGTACATATGAGGAATTAGGACTCATCCTTCATCCCAACCTTCAGAAACTTTCGCCCACACACATTCTAACAAGCAAAGACTCCTACATGAGGTAGTTAGGCAGCTTTCTCCTCAAGAAAGGAGAAGACCTCTCTGGTTGGCCACCAAGTAACCATATACATCACTAAGACCCAGAAAAAACATTAAGTGACATATCTTAATTCTATTCACCCTTCTCCTTATCAAAAAGAAGTAGCATCCATAACAAAAGAAAACAATTATTAAATCTAATGGAGACATACATTTTGCTCCATGAACTTGTAATCCAATCAAACAAGATAACCAGAGTCCACTAGCATTAGTGATAGGTCAGCCCTCCAGAATCAGCTCTATAGGGCTGTTTACAGAGTCATGCATCCCTTAACGAGAGGAATACATTCTGAGAAATGCGTTATTAGGCAATTTTGTCACTGTGCAAAGAGTGTACTTACACAAACCTAGATGGTACAGCGTACTACACTCCTAGGCCATATGGTACTAATCTTATGGGACCACTGTCATATATGCAGTCCATCGTTGGCACATGACTGTACTTATAAACATCTGGGGACCACCATAGGGGACTGGAATATGTGAGCTACACGGTGAAATTATCCTCTTAGTTTGTCCAAACCTGGCATACCACCACAGGGAAGGGGAAAGACGTACTAGCCTTGGATCCCACATGACTCCTATACCCTCCTCAGACCACACAAGCTCACCTGGCTCTGTCTGTCACATGGGTGATGAACAGGATATGGGTAGAGACACTCAAACTGATCCGGAGGGAATAAAATGCATCGCTTGTAGCCTTTTATCTGAGCAAAGAAGTTCTGTTGCTCATCATAGTGAGCAGGTGTCACATTTCCTGTGGGAAGAAAGACATTTTCTTATTTAGAGCAGTGGCTCTATTGCAAAGGCTGGAACAGAGGCACCAGTGCTGGAGAGAAACCCAGCCTGTCCTCTCAGCTAAAGGTTCCAAATCAGAATGTCAGGCAGAATCAGGGAAACTGCAATTACCACACTCAGCAAATTAGGTGTTATACTTTTAATGGGTAATAAGTCTAGCAACCATCACTGGCTAAGGATTCACCACCAATAAGCAAAGTAGATTTTCTTAAATGACGGCTGCTGCCCTTACTGGAAGCAGATTAAAACAATACTCACAAGTCTGGCAAAGTAATATACCGTATATACTTGTACTTTTTTTGACCCCGGCCACAATTCAAACACAGCAAAACAAGAGTTAGAAACAAATGAAATGACTGTTATCAACAATGCATGCATGATCTTCTTTGATGGAGTTAACCAGTCATTTTAAGTTGTATGAATATGTACTTGCTTTGGGTAGCTCTCCTGGAGCTCAAAGATTCCGTCTTTGCTCCCACTTTAACACACCTGCGGGATGCAACAATTCTTTAGAGCACCACTGGAGCTACTGATTCTCATTGCGGAGAAGCATATCAGATTCCTTAAGAGTGTTGTATACTTTGAATAAGGCAAATTATTTAAAACGTCATCTTGAATTAGTTCTGCCCTAGTGTATGGTCCATCTATTCCTTGTAACTGCGGCGGCCTCTGTTTATCCTTCCTTGAGAGCTGAAGGGTCCTCTGCAGGGTATGGAGGTGAGAAAACATTCCCCAGGTCAGCGTGGGTGGGCCAAGACAGCTGCCTTCTTAAGTGCTAAGAGGCCATGTGCATCCTCAAAAGAGATTTGCTCTCTCATCTCTACCTGACGGATCCGCTTCCCTACACTTTACCACAGGATAGGAATGCAACAGAAAAGCTCAGAGTCACGTAAACCAGAACTGGCTCCTGGCAGGTCAACCAAGAGTTGGTTTCAAAGGGGCAGGTTAAGGGTCAATTCATAAGCTGCACTGCTGGAAACCTTTAATGATACTGGCAGCAAAGGATCCAAATCTGAAGAAAGGACAACCTAAGGGGGAGAAGAGACTTCAGAGCCCAGTGGTGAATGACAGTGAATAATCACTCTGTTTCCTTGTTCAACGCAATTTATTTGCCATTTACTAAGTACCTACTATGGGCCCAGCACTGAACTGGTGCCAGAAATAAAAAATAAGTAGGAGACAACAACTCTGGCTGGTAAGTAGCTCTCCTCTCCTGACTGGAGTTTAAAGGCTTCTCCTTTTATTCAAAAGAAGAAAAATCAAAAGAACATATTCACACATTTGCCTGTGTATGCATAAAATCCTCTAGCAGGACACACGAGCAACTAATAATAAGCAGGGCCTCCAGGGAGAGAAAGTGGGAGGCTGGCAAATAGGAGTGGAAGAGAGATCTACCACTACATATCTATTTATACCTTTTAAATTTAACCCCATGACTACATTACCTATTCAAAAGATAAAAGTCAACTTATATTGGAAAAGTAAGTCTCCCTCTTCTACTGGGATAAAAATCTTCTGAACACAGATAGATCCAATAGAGAATAGCAGTGTTTTAGAGAGATCCCTAATATCTGAGAATACATACTCACAGCAGCTGAGGAACGGAAAAGGGAACTTTCTTTTCAGAGTGCGTGAAACTAGCTTAAGGATGTAACATACATCATCTTATTTAATCTTCATGGCTATTTATAAGATTATTATTGTGTTCCTTTTACAGATGAGAAGGTTGAGACTTAACAAAGTTACGTGACTTGTTTCAAGTCATGGAGTGAAGAAGTGGTGGAGACAGGATTAGAAATCAGGTTGTATGACTCCAAGCCATGCTGCTTTCTGTGAGATTTCTTACCTTCCATGCCGATGAGCAGCAGGTTGGAGGTCAGCTGCCCCCAGCCACGCTTTCCCTGCTGCTTATTAATCCAGTTCCAGTTAAAACCCAAGAAGTCCATGACAATCTTCCTGCCCACAGTGTCATTGAGTGTTTGCTGCAGATACAACCTACGTTCCCCAAGAAGAAAATCCCATTACTGCATGAACACACAGTCCGTAGCACAGCCTCCCCACACCTGGAAATCCAAATACAAACCCACACCAGCGTCTCCCACAGAGAACAGCTGCAGTCATGGGAATCTTAACCAACACGGACTCTCACAGAACTGAATCCTCATCTACTCTTCTTTGAGCTCTGTTCAACACCAACCTTTTTATTTTAAAGACGTGATTCTTATCCCTTTCTGGGTCACAGCATAAATTCTTTAAGAATGCAAGGAAAGTTTCCCATAAAATGCACATACACATAGAACTTTCACACAATTTCACAGATTCCTCGAAGCCTATCCATAGACCCTAAAATGATGAATCAGCCTTGTTCCAGAGACTTTCAGGGTCTGAGACATCCCCTTTGGCCATCGGTGGCCACTGTGGTAGACTGTATTACTGTTCACCAAGAGCTAGTTTCCTCCCTGTGGAAGAGTTCTTCTTCCGTAACCCCTGGAAGCCAGGCTTGCTTCTTTAACTTGCATTGGCCAATGAAATGTCCACAGAGGTGATTCTTGTTGCTTCCAAACTATAATTTTAAGAACCAGAACATACTACCACCACATCACTTTCCCTCTGCCACAGCAACTGCAAAGTTTCAGATGGTAGCTGCTGGGGCAATCTGGGTCCCAAAATGAAAAAGACGATGTAAGAGCAGAGCCACCAGGTGACCCAGGATGGACACGTAGCATGAGTGGGAAATAAACGTTTGTTGTTTCAAGTTGCTGAGCTCTGGCTTGAAGCCTAGTTTTTCCTAACTGATTCAGCCACCTATCTGTAGCAGCCTTCTACAGCTGAAAGACTCCTCATCAGGCTTTCTGCAGGCCCAGGCCTCCTAACACGCCTGAGGAAGCTCAGAAGTTACTTAAGGGATATGAAAACCCAGACACACTTGGGCAAGCGCCATAAGAGATATTAATAAGGGGGTAAACATGAAGAAGAGACAGAAGCACTCTTGTCCTGGTTCTGAGAACATTACTTCAAAAGGCTCAAAGGTATCTCAGTGCCCAGAATTATGATGTTTAAGGCAACATTAATTAGAAATATTGATAAGCTGGAAATACTAGCTACCTTTTTGGGGACATGGAACCCTCCAGACTTGAATGCAACCTTTGGACTCTCCCCAGAGACTATAATATACATGTTCATACAAAAATTTTGCAAGTTAACCTCGAAAGAGTCAGGAACACTCCCCAAACACGAATCTGAACAATCCCTGTTATATCTCAACTGTAATTGCTCAAAATAGCTCAAAGAGGATCCTAATACCCTTTCTCCCAGAACTGCAACCACCAGTACAATTATACAGTGGAGCTGGTTGGTGCTAAAGTCAGATGGTAGGGCAACAGTCGCACACAGTAAAAAATTTTCCTGCAATCAGCCATAGAGTACAGACTACACTCATGGCTCATACGTAGTGAGGCAAAATGTTCTCACCGTGGGAAGCCAGAAACTTAAAGTGACTGAAAACCAGAGGATTTGTGTGTCTTATCTCATGCTCATTCCAGTGCATACATTCATTCAATGGAATTACACTCCACCAGCACCATTTAAATCAATCTCTCTCTCTCAACACTGAGGGTGTGTGCATGTGCATATGCATGCTGTTAAATTTAACGAAATTAACACATAAGATGACTCAACTGAACCACTCTTTATAAGACAAAGAACAGATCAATCACAGTTCAAATCCTACAAAATTCTCTTGGTCAAAGTCCTATCATTATGACAACTGCTAAGTGTCAGGAAGACGTAAAAAAAGATATTTCAAATCCTTTCACTCAGCCACATACTGTTAACAAGGAATCAGGAAGAGAACTGAGACAGAAGACTAGAGAGAAACCCAGGGTTGGGCACCAAATCTGACATGGAGATGGTCATTCACCATGAAGTACTCAGTGAAAGCAATTCCCCAGAGGCAATGTTATAACCAGGGACTGAAAGCGGTCTGATATCTACATAAGAGACAGTCCCCATAAATAATGATAAAAGTAGAGAGAAAGCATCACTCCTATGTGTGTGTCTTGTGTTTGCCATCATCAGTAAAACGTGGAACATCAATATTCCCCCATTCCCAATCTAATCTGATCTTCCCTAAGCTAGAGGATGCTGATATCCTTCACCCCAGAATCACAAAAGTCTGTGCAACTTTTCAGCTTGAACTGTCCCCAGCCAGCCTAATATTTTAAAACAAAGGCTGCAAAGTGGCAATCTCAGGGTTAAATCCAATGACAGACATTTTTGTTTGGCCCCCTGCAGCATTTTAAAAAATATGAATTAGCTGTGCACATGTAAAAATCAAAAAGATTTTAAATAAAAACTCTGATTTCTGGCTTCTCTTGAAAACTCAGAATATCTGGCAACCCTGGGACTGCACTCCCAAATGGAAACAAGAGAATCAAGTAATGACTTCTCACTTTGAACAGGGCGTATACCTTCAGCTTCATCATAGTTTTCACCCAAACAACTTCACTCATTTCATTCAGCTACCTGACCCTGCTAGGCAACTGGGACTCTCACTTTATGAAGATGAACAACGAGAGAGTCACAGTTCAAGTCTAGTCATTCCTTCATCCCTCACGCTAAAGAACTCACCCAACTCCTCCATACCCTCAAACAAGTACAGGAAAGGAAAATGGAAGCCCTACATCCAATGGAAAACAATGATCTGGAAAGTTACCTCTCTTCCCCTCCTCGCTGCTGTATATTCTGCAGTTTCTCAACAAACTCATGAAATTTCATCTCTTCCCTGTTGGACCTCGGCTTAAAGTTCTGGAAATTAGCCATCTTCTTCTCATCATAGTACAAGAACTTGTGGGTGCTGGCACTGTACACAGAGAAGTCTCCATTGCCAATATTCTCTTGCAGGTATTCAAGGTCCCATTTCAGGGCAGGGTACACGAGATTTGTGTCGGTCAGCACTACAGGCTCCTAAGAGAATACACCGGATGAAAAGAACAAATGATGTCGTCCCAGGAACTGGTAGATTCTTGTCCCAAGATTCCAACTACTTCCCAACTTCAAACTAATTCCTCCTGTTAACCAGCACGAACTCCCTAAGGCCCATTTCTCCTCGCCTCCCTCTCCATCGCCCCTAAGGCCCTAATTCACAGCCCTGCCACTCCCCCGGTCTATCACCACTCCCTCTGACCTCTCCTCCCAAGCTGGTCCCCTTCCCCTCCCCCCTCAGATGCGGCCCCGCCCCCTACCTCATTCTCGATAAGCTCCTCCGCCCGAGGGTCGCTCACACTCAGACGCGGGATGGGCCGGGTCGGGAAGCTATAACTGCGCAGCTGGGACTCATCCCAGGCGGGGCCAACGGCTTCGGCCTCTTCCCGGGGTTCTCCAGAGCCCGAGGCCGCAGCCTCCGCGGCTGTCGCCGCCATCTCCGCTGCTAGGGACGGCCCCACCGGAACCGGAAGGTCCGCCTATTCCGGAGAAAAACCACAGCGGAAACCATAGAGATGGGCTGCGAGAGAGAGCGGTCCAGAGACGCTAAGAACGCGGAGCCGACGCCCGGGGCAGCTCCTTCTAATGGTGACCTACAGCTCTACACCCTAGGCTCCGCCCCTGAAGACCTGCGGCTAGTCCCCCTTTAGTCCCACTGAATAGGGGTGATCACTCGGTTAACCAATCCACAAAATGTTACTGCTGCCGCATTGTGCCGACGCCTACACAAGAGGCAAAGGAGGAGGCAAGTTTAGTGGGGCATTAAACTTTACACTCATGGATAGGGAGAGAAGCAAACTCTTGCCCTATCTAAGGAAATCAGAAGGAATAGCAATTGTCTGATTGATAAACGTTGGGTAAAGGTTGCTCTGAAGGCCTAGGCGAAAGATATATGGCAAGATGAATTCTTTTAAAATCAAAGACGGTCTTCTTTTCTTTAGCATCATTTGGATTTTCTGCCTGTGTCACCATCTCTCCTACTTGAAGATATTTTTGTCATGGGACCAATGTTATCATTAGTGGCCAAGCATGAACAGCCCACATTTTCAAACAATTTATATGGGTTATTAAAGGCCCTATTGATTACTTCTATTGCTTACTTAGACAGTTCTTATGGCTGGTTGTGGGAGGCCAAATTCTTTTTTTTTTTTTTAATAATTTTATTTATTTATTTTTTCCCCCAAAGCCCCAGTAGATAGTTGTATGTCATAGCTGCACATCCTTCTTGTTGCTGTATGTGGGACGCAGCCTCAGCATGGCCAGAGAAGTGGTGCATCGGTGCGCGCCCAGGATCTGAACCCGGGCCACCAGCAGTGGAGCGCGTGCACCCAACCGCTAAGCCACGGGGCCGGCCCTGGGAGGCCAAATTCTAAGATGGAGCCAAAGATTTCCATTCCATGGTGTACATGCCCTATATAAGTCTCCCCCTTGAATAAGAGCAGGACTTATAAATATGATAGGGTATCACTCCTGCGATGAGGTTACATTATATGGCAAAAATGTAATTCAAGTTCTTAATCAGTTCACTCTGAGTTAATCAAAAGGAGATTTTCCTGAGCGGGCCTGACCTAATCACTCTAGCTCTTTAAATCTGGGTCTAGTGGTCAGAGACACAAGTCAGAGAGATTTGAAGCCAAAGAAGCTCTCCTGTTGTGCTTGAAGGAGCAAACCGCTATGTGGCAGAGAATGGTGGCTAGGCTCTAGGAGCTGAGAAAGGCTCCTGGTTGACAGCCAGCCAGAAAGGAGGGATCTTAGTCCTACAACTGCAAGAAACTGAATTCTGCCAACAACTACTGAGCTTGGAAAAGGACACAGAGCCTCAGATGAAAAAGCAGCCCCAACAAATACCTTGATTTCAGCTTGGTGAAACCCTGAGCTGTGACCCAGCTAGCCCATGCCTGGAATCCTGACTCATAGAAAATTTGAGATAATAAATTGGTGTTATTTTGGGCTGCTTAATTTATGGTAATTTGTTATGAGGCAATAGGAAACTAATACACTGGCTTAATTATGTAATTATGCTGCATAGTAGCTATGCAACACAAAACTGATAATGAGGTTACCTCTGTGGAAGGTTTGGGGCTGTGGTAGCAATTAAGGCTTTAGTTTTATCTGCAATGTTTGAATTTTTACAAGAATATATTAATATGTCACATTGGGAATTAAGAATAAATTAGACCAAGAAGATTCATATTACTAAAATCAGGAATGAAAGAAGGCATATTACTACTGACTTTACAAAAATAAAAAGGAGTATAAGGGAATACTATGAACAATTGTATTACAAAAAATTATATAACCTAGATAAAATAGACAAATTGCTAGAAAGGCAGAAACTATCATAACTGATTTAAGAAGAAATAGAAATTTTGAATAGATTTATAACAAGTAAAGACATTAAATTAGGAATCAGAAACTTTCTACAAAGAATAGCCCAGGACCAGATGGATTCACTGATAAATTCTACCAAACATTTTAAAAAGTATTAACACCAATCCTTCACAAATTTTTAAAGAATAAAAGAGGAAGGAACACTTTCCAACTCATTCTAGGAAGTCAGTGTTACCCTGATATCAAAATGAAACAAAGACATCTCAAGAAAAGGAAACTACACACCAAATCCCTTATAAATTTAGATGCTAGAATCCTCAGCAAAATACTAGCAAACCAAATCGACACCATATAAAAATGATTATATACTATGACAAAGTAGGATTTACTCTAGGAATGCAAGGTTGGTTCAACATCTGAAAATTAACCATATTGATAGAAGAAAAAAAATATTAAAAGGTACAAACATACAGTTATAAATGTCATGGGGATGTAATGTACAGCATGGTGACTATAGTTAATAATACTGCATTGCATATTTGAAAGCTGCAAACTTAAAACTTAAAAGTTCTTATCATGAGAAAAAAATTTTGTAACTATATATGGTGACAGGTTAACTAGACTTATTGTGATGATCACTTCAAAATATATACAAATATCGAATCATTATGTTGTACACTTGAAACTAATATAACGTTATATATCAATTATACCTCAATTAAAAAGAAAAAGAAAAAAAATGCCACATGATCATCTCAATAGACACAGAGAAAACTTTTGACAAACTCCAACACCTTTCAGAATAAAAATGGGGTCCCAGAGGACGCCATCAAGAAAGTGAAAAGACAATCCACAGAATGGGAGAAAATATGATATTTGTGTCTAGAATACATAAAGAACTCTTACAATGCAATAAAAAGACAACCCACAATGACGTACAACAAAAATTTCACAATAAAGAAAACCCAATTAAGAAATGGACAATGGACTTGGAGAGACCTTTCTCCAAAGAAGATATACCATAGCCAATAAACGCATGAAAAGATGCTCAACATCTTTAGTCAGAGGGTTATGCAAATCAAAACCACAATGAGATGCCATTCACATCCACTAGTAAGGCTATAATAAAAAAGACAGATAATAACAAGTGTTGGTGATAATGTGGAGAAATTGGAACCCTTATACACCACTAGTGGGAATGTAAAATGATGCAGCTTCTTAGAAAAACAGTTTTTCAGAAAGTTAAACATAGTCACCCTATGATCCAGCAATTCTACTGCTAGTATGTACCCAAGAGAATTGAAAATATACATCCACACAAAAACTTGTATAAGAATGTTCACAGCAGCATTATTCTTAATAGCCAAAAAGTGGAAACAACCCAAATGTCCATCAACTGATGAATATATAAACAAAATGTTGTATATCCATATAATGGAATATTATTTGGCCATAAAAAGGAATGAAGAACTGACACATGCTACAACACAGACAAACTTTGAAAACAAGTGAATTAAGTGACCTAAGTGACATAAACTAAGTGACATAAGTCAGACACAAAAGGCCACACATTGTGTGGTCCCATTTATATAAAATGTCCAGAATAGGCAAATCCATAGAGACAGAAAGTAGATTAGTGGTTGCTAGGCAGTGAGGGGTGGGGGAAATACCCTAATGCATATCGGGTTTCTTTTGGGGGTGATGAAAATGTTTTAGAATTAGATAATGGTGATAGTTGCACAACTTTGTGAATATACAAAATATCACTTTATTGTACACTTTAAAGGGGTGAATTTTATGGTATGTGAATTATATCTTTATATAAATAAATAACTAAGACCTACTCTGTTTCTGACCCAAATTAGATCAGGGCTTGCTAGTGACTGAATGCAGATATTGTCCAGTTATTCTGAACATCAACTAGTGATGCTCATTTACAAGAGGGCAAGTTTCTGTGAAGTAGTCCTCCTCAAAATTTATATACCAAATAGTACATATCAGTTTTTATTGCTTTGATATATATTCAAGAATGTCTATAGTAATGGATTCTGCTCCAAAACAGTGATCACCCTAAAAGTTGCTGGAAATACGTGCATATTCATACTGCGTAAATTATGGAAAGCCCATTTGTGTAAATAAAGTGAAAACATATTCATATGCAAACATAATAATGTCTCCCATTCTCCTGTTAAGCTAGTGTTTATTAATTGTGGCCCTGCTTGAAATCTGTTATTCCAAGTCCTAGTAAATCTGAGGCTTTAGGGGATCTCCCGAGAACTGCCTCTGGTGCTAGGATTGGTTTTACATTTGTTAGGTTGAGGTGACTGGAACATTCAGATGTAAACACTTACTGAAACTGAGGACCCAATTCCGGCCGATTTGTGTTGCACCCTTCACCTAAATGAAGGAGATCAACCCATTTGGAGAAAAGAACAAGAAGAAGCAAGACCAAGGGCTGAATGTGAAGAATAATCACGTTTGGGGATGGAAGGAGGAAGTGCCAGTGAAGAAGAAGAAAAAGCAAAGCAGTCAGAGAAGAGATTAAGACAGGCTTATTTCTCTTCTACTGCTCCTGGAGAAGGTGGGTCAGCTGTCCACCTGAGATGCTCAGGCTCTGAGTCTCCATTATCCCTGCATGCGTCTAAGTCATCTGAGGGAGAAAAGGGACAAAACAATCTGAAATATCAAAGCAGTGACTTGCTTGGTTTTCTTTCCTCCCCGCTTTCGCTTTCTGCCTCTATCCATTTGCTCATCTATCCTTTACCTACCCAACACCGTCCAAGCCCCGCCCTTTTTGAGCCCCTGGGACTTTTTCTTCGCTACCGGCTTCCCCCGTCGCGTTTGGCCTGGCTCAGCCGCCGTGACAAGGCTTTTGCGCATGTGCGGGGTGAAACGGGAAGAAGGTGAAAATGGCGGCGGCCAGGGCCGGGGTCCTGGGAGTCCGTTGGCTGCAAAGGTCAGCCCGGAACTTGTTGCCTTTGGGTGCACGGACGGGTGCACGGACAGGTGCGCGAGAATGGGCAAGACCTCAGTGTGGGAAGGGGATGCCTGAGGTTTGGTGTGTCGGGAGGAGAGTGGATATCATGGATACCGCGGTGGCCGTGTTCATACAGGGGGCGGAGGTGGAGTTGGTATGTCTAGAAAAGGGGGTAGAGGGT